CAGTCCCAGGGAGGGGGGTTGCATCCCCAACCAGCCCCTTTAACCTACCTGGCTGCCTGCTGCTAAGCACCGCAGCCTGCAGTAAGCCCTGGGAACTCAGCTGGGAAAAGCACTAAGTGCCCCAACTGGCCAGCTTCTTGCTGGAGCAGTGCATCAGAGCACACCAGCTTACTTTCATCTCTGCTCCACAAGAGCTACACATTGATGTGTAAATGCCCCCATACCTCCCTGGAGAGGTTATATAAAGGAGAAGAGAATAAATATGTGGAATTTGGGGGGTTCACATCATTAGTGGACTTGTACTTCTGATGGCTAAGAGTGAGCGATTCTCACTACTGTCTTTTGTTGTTGTTGTTCCTTGTAGATCAGTCCCTCAGATGGAAAGATTCTGAACTTTGGACAAGTGAAAAACTGTGAAGTGGAGCAGGTAAAGGGTGTCACCTATTCACTGGAGTCCTTCCTGGGGCCATGCACCAGCATAGAAGACATGCAGTTCAGCCAAAGTAAGCTGCTTCTACCCTGTTTCTCTCTGTCATTTCATTGTTGGCAGGAATTGCCGGGGAAAGGTGAATCATAGCTATCTGTAAAGCCCTGCACATCTGAAGGAATCCACTTTATATCTGCGGCTATCTGCATATGTGAATATGAATGCGGGTATCTGTGGCTTATAACTATAGATATGAACAAATTTTGTATCTAGAAGCCTGAAAATTTGTGAATATCTGCTTTATATCCACAGTTGTCCATGGCTCATTTTTCAGATACGGATGTGGGTACGGATTTTGTGTCTGCACATGGGTCTTGCTGTTAGCTCTCAAATCTTTGCCAGCAGCAGAACTTTGCTAGCTTCCTAACAGTCAGGGTGGTTAAACTCTGGAATAAGTTGCCTAGGGAGGTTGTGGAATCTCCCATCACTGGAGATATTTAAGAGCAAGTTGGACAGACACCTGTCAGGAAGGATCTGGACAGAGCTTGGTCCTGCCATGAGGGCAGAGGACTGGACTCGATGACCTCTCGAGGTCCCTTCCAGTTCTAGTGTTCTATGGTTCTATCAGCAACTCTGATTCATTCAAACTCGGATTGAGGAATAATGGGTGGGGTGTAATGTTCCATGTTGGATTCCTCTATCTCCACAATAGCTTCTCCCTCTCTTGTAATTTGAGCCTCTGATTCAGCCCTTTTTCCTAGATTTTCACTTCTCAGTTATATTGGCAGTGCAGTTATATTGGCTGGATTATGGGTAACTTCAAAGTCTGTGACCGTAATGTAGCTACTCCTGCGGGGAGGCTGAAACATACCCAGATGTTTGGCTAGCAGAGACTGACGCTGTGGGAAGTAGATTACAGTGAATGTTTGAAGCAGCACCACCATATAGAGGCTGATCTCTGCTGTCATGCCTAGAGAGGCTCCATGGAGCCTGCATGCTCTGTATCATTTCCCCCTCCGTTCCCCCATCCAAATATCAGCCTCCAGTTTACATGAACTCTTGGGAGTTAAAGAACCTTGTCAGTTCAGCTTGGCGTAAAATATATATTTTTGTAAAATCGAATTAACAAAATATGGCAGAAGCCTTCTCCTGCAGCATTTACAACCCAAACACTGACAGGTCTGATTCCACTCTAAGGATGTTAAATGTTGACTAATTGAATAATCGAATAGTTGATGCATTTTGCATCGACTATTTGATTAGTCGATAGGGCACCTCCACCTTTGAAGTGTAGCAACAGTCTGGCCCCAGGCTTCAAGTAGCGCTGCCACTTTCAAATACCCCCTCCTGTGCCACCACTTTCTGATAGAGCAGCAAGGTGCAGGGAAGCGACTAGTCAACTCATCCTTCACATCCCTTCCACTGTCCATGCTGAGGGTAGTGGAAAAGTGAACAGCATCAGTAGTGAGAAATAAATAATATTTCTGTAATTCTTCCTGTTCTTACTAATCAAAAGGTTGTTACTATCACAAGTAGGAAAATGACTGGTTTTTAGTGGCCGAATGTGTAGCCTCAGTGCATGCTCAAAATTGAAGACATTCAAGGAATTAATTCTAAAGCTGACTCATTTCCTTACCATGTACCATGAAAGGGAGTTGCATGGTCTCAACAAGTGTGTTCACTGAGGGCGATTATATTTGGAATTCTGTAGCTGATTCATGCGTGGAATTTCTTTTGCCAGTTAATACCCCCAGGGCTGTATGCTCTGCTGTTAACACTGGTTTTCTAAGTATCATAGTACATTTCTCATTGTATCACATTATGTTCTCTCATGGAGTCTTTGGTTTGTTCTCTTTATCCCCTTTTCCTCTGCAGCCTCATCCTCCAACTCATTCCAGACCCAGCTAGTCACAAAGGAGGGGAACGAGCTCTATCACTGTGTCATCTACCTGGCCCCTGGAGATTATCACTGTTTCCACTCGCCCACTGACTGGAGAGTGTCGCACAGACGCCACTTCCCAGGTAGATTCTATTTCCATAAACAAGAAGGGGAAACCGCAGGTGTAAAATCAGGAGAATTCCTGAGAGACGCTTCAGTCCGAACACCTGAACTGTGATGTGCTAGAGAGCCAGAGAGCAGCCGTTTGTCATAAAAAGCACATTGAGCTGAATTCAGTGCTAATGAATTTCAGGGCTTTGTAGCCTGCCAATTTAACTCAACTAATCAATGCTGAAGATGAGTAAGTTGGCCTCTCAAGAGACCTAATTATTTCAACTAAACGCAGAGGTAGGGAGAGCTAGATCTGTTTCCAGCAGACTTTACCGAAATGGTGTTTTAAGAATGCCAGCCAGCATCTTGAGTGGGAGCAAGGCTATTCCCCACCCACCACAGTAAACTGCCCTGCCATTGGTAAAGATGATGCCCCAGAAGGCCTGCACATCAGATTCAGAAGATGACACTAAGCACAGTCACTTGATTTGAATTGGGGTTATGGAGTTTTGCCCCCCTCCTTCGCAGTCATGCACCGTAGCCCAGCAGATGGAAATTCATTTTTTTAATTACCCAGGAACAGAGAGAGGAGTTGGACTTGGTTTCAGATGCTATGTGTGAGAGGGAGACAAGACCTGGCAAGAAAGTTGATCTGCCAAGCTTCAGCCTGAAGCTAAGCTTTGTGTCTGGGTAAACCCTTTAAGCCAGTGGTTTCTTAAGAAAGTGCTGCAGGAGATCCATTATAATAGAGCATCGTGCATACGGGTACAGCCACTAGTAAAACACTTCAGAGCAGTGTGTGCACCCCTGTGTTGTGTGACTGGATGGAAGTCTTTATGGTTATCGGGATTCATTCTCTTTTAGAATGCTAGCTCCATTTATTAATCATTCATGTTCACATCCGGCCAGGTGTAGAGACTCAGATCTCAAGTGCTACAGCACCACTTCTTCACACATTGCAAAGGGCAGTTGAGAGTGATAGCTGGGGGTGGGGTTTTTCTTTTGTAGCTTTTGGTGAGCTAGTCCAGTGAGCTCATTCCTTTGTGTCCTTAGACTGTATAGGTAGAGCTGTTGTGTGGAGTGCTCAGAAAGAGACTTGTTCTGTTTTGAGTTCATTAGATAGCTGGGTTCTTTCTTGGTGGTAGCAGTGTTTCAGGGCATGTAATGATGACACTGTGAACTCTGAAAGATGGCATTAAGGTGAAATACTGTGGTCTGAACACACAGCAAAAATTAATTAGGTTTATGCATCATTTGTGGAGGGGTGTTTAAAGCCAGAAACTACAGCATATAATATTTTCCCTTTATTCAACATCTATTTCTAGGGGACATACCATGACCTTGGACATGCTGGATGATAGAGTACGCCTATCAGCTAAAAAAGTGTAAATTTTATCTACTCTCCACCTTGTATATTTACAGTGCAGCTGGAAACCTCAGCTAGCCTCATTCCTCTCAAAGCCCAGTTTCAGGCTGCAGTGTAGATATATCCTTAGCAACCGGTTTTTTGCCACTGCATGGTGCAATAGAAACTCTGTGCATCTTCTGATCTTGGTAATACTTAGCATTTGTCTTACTTCTTAGAAATGAGGTTTAATTTGGCCCTTCTTTGTTGGTCTCTAAATTATTATACCTTAAATCTATCAAAATACTGCTGCAAGAACAGAGAACATTTCATCTTGCTCTTCCTGTTTACGACAGGCTCCCTGATGTCTGTGAATCCCGGTGTTGCCCGCTGGATCAAGGAACTCTTCTGCCATAATGAGCGGGTTGTTCTTACTGGTGATTGGAAACATGGCTTTTTCTCCCTGACAGCAGTAGGAGCCACAAATGTAGGCTCCATCCGCATCTACTTTGACCGGGTGAGTATCACGTCACTAGTCTGCATCCTGCCTTTGACATCTCACTTTGTTAGTAAGTGCTCTATGACTCAGGGGTGGGCAATAATTTTCACAGGGGTCCACTTAATGAATTTTGGTAGGTAATCATGGGCGGGCTGGCTGGCAGGTGAGAGGCTGAGGACTGGCCTCCTTCCATAGTTGTCTGGGGCCAGAAGCTTTGAATTAAAAACACACTGTCTTCCAGCCCTTTCGCTACTGTGTTGCCTGGGATTGCTGCAGTGATTTAAAGGGCTTGTTGCTCTGCCCGGGTAGCATTGTGACCAGGAGAGCCAGGAGCCATTTTAATAAGATCTGGCTGCCTGAACCACCTGGAAATTAGGTGGCACGGGCAGCAGGCTACAACTAGAAAGCAGCCAGATGCAGTCCACAGGCTGGATCCAAGTGCTAGGCAGGCCACATCTTGCCCAGCTCTGATATAACTAATGTCAGAAACAAGGCATTGTTGGTTAATTATTTGATTTCCTCATAACTAATATAAAGCTAAAGTTAAAACTTGGAAGATTTCTACCAAGTATTACTCTATAAACACTATTTTTCATTAGCTTAATGTGATCCTGGGCCAACATGTAAAGAGGGAAGTGTATGCTGTGCAGATCTTGTCTTCCACTTTGTATTTAGCTCTATTGTATGTTACTAATGAAACTGTAGCCTAGGCATAGGAAGTTGTCAAATCTAGTAAAATAGATGGAGCATACTAAAATCCAAAATCACATTCCTTTCTCTCTTATGTGTAGGATTTGCACACTAACAGCCCCAGTTACTCCAAAGGCTCTTACAATGACTTCAGCTACATAACCAACAATAACAAGGAGGGCATCCCTATGAGGAAAGGAGAACATTTAGGAGAATTTAACCTGGGCTCAACCATTGTGTTAATCTTCGAGGCACCAAAGGACTTCAACTTTCACCTCAAACCTGGACAGAAAATCCGCTTTGGAGAGGCCCTGGGCTCCCTATAGAAGCCACAAGAGGATTTTATACCCCAAAGGCAACTCAAACAAGACAAATGTTTCACTAATGGAAAATATCACTCAGCAGGACCTGGGTGAGGATAATATTAGGCAACATGGTTGTGTAAAACTGGGGTAGGAGTATTTGCCCTATATCACATACCCATGTTGACAGGAGTAAAATAATCAGATGATCCATATACATATCAGGTACATATGCCTTTAAGAATGTTGACCAGAGTGGTTTCTGTCCCACTCTGTGCCTAAAGTCTTTCACACTCTCCCAGTCAATGTGTTCCATTCATACAGAGCCTGTACAGTCCTACTGGGCCTGTCTGCACTCTGGAACTGCCCTGGGGAGGGGTGAAGGCAGAGAGATTAAGCTACCTTTAAAGGGACACTGATAGGTTGACATAGACCCAAGTTTTCAATTCTGTAAAACAAAGTTGCAGACCCCAGAAGTGTCTAATACAGACATGACATCAAAGTATGGGAAATAGGAAGTCACAGTGCCTAGTCTACTTTCATTGTTCAACCTAGGTGAAATGCATAATGTAAACTAATGGCACCAGTGATGATACAAGTACATCAGATTCAAATTCTGTTTAATATACTGGTGGCAGATATGGAAACTTAATTTTTAAATGCCTTTAACCTGTCATTGTCCCTTTTAACATTGGACTTTGCACTGGATTTTAAACCTGAAAACTGTGTCTACATTCCATGTGGTTGAACTTCTCATCTTTTTGAAAAAAGTGTATTTTTTTAGCTTGCAGCAGTCTGACTGCTGCATACTCTCCCTGATCCATAGTTTTACTTTTGCCATTCCAGGCCTTAAGGATTTTGTGTATACAAATGGCAATTATTACTCTTCTCAGTTATCCAGAAACTACTGAGGAATTAAGCTTGTGACAAAATAATAACAGGTAGTTAAGGGATTTGCTCCCTTCACATTGCAGGGGTGAAGTGTCCATCAATACAGTACTCCCCTTCACCACCACAGTGAGGCTGCAAAGTAGATTTCCCTGTCTGCTGTACATGTGCTGTTTGTTGTCATAACCTGCAGAGTTTGTCATTGAGTTTTTGGTGTGGAAATTTCTCTATGTACAAAATAATGTGAAATACATCCAGGCCTGTTTTTCAGTGCACAGAGTGAAATGCCATGGGCACTGACTGTGTATTAAAAACCATTCTGGTCCTTTGGGACAATCTAAGGTTGCTTCCTCAGTGCACTAACTTGCTTTCCTATCCTTTAGTTGACTTGCAAATATTTGTTTAACTTAAATGCCAAACTTCCATTTTTCTTTTGCACTCTTAGCTGGTGCCCTCTCTGAAGTTTCATCCTGCAGTAACTTCAGTCTGTGTAGATTCATACCAAGCAGGGTTAGAATGGACATAGTAACAACCCCCTTTGTCACCAAATGGAACATAACACTAAGAAGAGTTTTAAGCTTCACATTGCCAATAATGGGATTGACAGCAACTGGTGCCAAAAGTGTTGAACAACTCACAGCTGCAATGTACTGCTTGTTCTTACTGAATAAATTCTATTTTGCGCCAAAGAAGTCTCTTGCATGTAAGTTAATAGGAGACCCAGAGCTTAAAGGACCAGACTAGGTCCTTACATCTTCCTGAAAGATCTTACACACTTTCCCACCTTGAACCTTGTGCATAGATGCTCATCAGAGGCACTAGTTTCCTTTAAAGAGCTGCCTGCAGTTCCAAGGGGAAAACAAAATTTAGAATTAATTAGAAGTGAGACTGCATGCTATGCCTTTTAATCCTGTGTAAAGGATAATCTGCCTTGCCCAGGTGTGTTCGAGAAAACAGGAGTTTTTGAAAAGTGTGTGCAAATGGCTAATCCCTCTATGCTTGGCAATAGAAAAGAAAAGCTCAGTGTCTAGATCTTAACTATTTTGCCTACTCTAGGTCAATGTATGCGAGAACTAGTCCTTTGGCTCCCTGAATCAGCATTTCTTTGTTAAATGGTTTGCAGAAGCTTAAAATGGCTGTTTACTTCCTCCTCCCTCCCTCCCTCTACTTTGTCCTGCTCCTTAGTGGTTGGAGGTTCAGAGCTCATGGATTAGTGCATCACACTGTTCTTGGTTCAGCTAGGCAAGAATCTTTAAGGCTTGGGAAGAGATCTCTATTTGCAGAGGGCTTAAGGGGAAGCCATGCAGCTTAGGGAAGCATTGATCAGTGTGAAACTTATGAACATTAACTCTTCAACAGTCTTAGCAGCATTGATTAGCTCCTTAGTTGGCAGGGGAATTTAAGTATAAATAGAGCCTGTCACTCTATACAAGGACTGATGAGTGCATCTTTGCACAGCAGAGTATTATGATATTCACCATAGTTGTAACAAAGTGAGTCAGCAGCTCCAATATTATTTGAAAGAGAGGAGGAATGTCTCCCATATACATGCAGCAAAAGGAAATACATACATTTAACTGATTGAAGAGAACTAAGCCAAACCTCTGAGTCAAAGATTGTGTACATTAGGCCTATGTCCTCTGTAATCAAAACAGCCAGCCCATCATGCCATTAAGCAAGAACAATTGTTTAGAGGTTTTAGGCTTGTTACATATGCAGAGCCATGCGAATATCCTGCACACGGAGGATGTAGCACTGCAGACACTCTCTCTCTTCTAGCAGCACTTTTGTGAGTGTGTTGATCTGCACTTCCAACTGCAAGAGACAATGAAGAGGAATTGTTTGTGAAAACTGGAATTCTTCACTCCAGAAAGTGGGGCTGTAGGTGTTCTGACTGCTGAATGGCTTTTGCTCTACCCCACTTGAATAGCAGAGTCAAGTTACAGGACTGGGTTATTCCTCTTATGCAATTTGATTGTGATTGTGAGAAAAATGTGACTAGTTTAATTAACTTTGCTCATGGTACCCTGTGGCCGCTTCTTCTACTGTTTCTCACTAGTCCCTTTGCTCAGAACAGTTTCCATTCTTTTACCCACCCTGCTGTTACTCATCTCACAACTGCCTCCTAGTGTAGTCTGCCTTTGTTTCACAATCATCCAAGTTATTCAATCTGTACATGGCAGGGCCATGTTCTCCATGGTACCATATGTCATTTTTACTCAGCCTTATGGGACTGGCCTTCACCCTACTACTTGTCCACATACCTGATCCAGCTCCTCTTGAACATGCTGCACATCTTGCTCCACTTCCCCTGGGCCTACCGTACTCATTTCTAGCCATTTGTGCAGAATGCGTGCCTGCCGCTGGCATGACCTGAGGGAACATATCAAATGATTCCTGTTGTGAATAGGATCGCACCAAACAGGTGGAGCACAGAAGGCACATTATACATTTAACTCATTCACACCATGCCCAGGATGATCACTCCCCCTTAAGTCTTGTTCCACTCTGAAATGTGGCTTAATGGGGGATTGTGGGGTTATAGATTTATTTCTAACTACCAATTCCACAAAATCAGGCTGGGATTTGAGAACCAAGCTGGGGTCTTTTCTCCTCATGAATTCAAAGTCTGAAGGCTACTCAGTTATAATTTCACTGCACTGACTTCAGATTATGCCCTTGGTGATATCATTATGGCCACATTTTCTTCAGTAGTTGCCACAGATAACAGGAAACAATGGTCAAGGATGCACAAAAACAACTCCCTCCAATCTGTATTGGCAGGGCAGATCTTAAACGAAAACCCCCACAACTCTTACTCTGTCAACAGTTGTGATTGAATAGGCCTAGGAGACAGATCTACTGAGTAGCTCAGAACTACACTTCCACACAGAAACAGAACACTGGATTAAGAGCATTGAATGAAGCCAGCTAAGAGGAACTTCATTACATACTTGAGCTCCTGCTTGCTGTCATGGTAATGCTGCATTTGCTGCCGTATGTGTTGGAGTTCTGCTTCCAACTGTTTCCTCAGCTTTGCTCCCTCCAGAGAATCACCTTGCCTGCTCTTACTTTCGTCTGAAACCAAACAAAGCACACACATGGATGCAGTTGAGGTTGTTTCCTGCTTCCTCCTCTCTGGAAACAGACTAGTTTGTAGGCAAAAACTACCACTGTGCCCTGCCTCTGGATCTTCTCACTGCTACCATGTGATGTGCTAACTGGGGCCTAACAGACTTTCTCCATTTGTGAGCCTAACTCTGAAACATTTATAAAATGATCCAATCATCTCTCAATAAATATTGATGGGAAAAGAGAAACAAAGCCCAGCTCAGCCTGTTACATAAAATGATTTATATGCTTCAGTAAAAGTGAGTTAGCCCAAGCAAGGAGGCATTCTGCAATAACTCAAGGGCTATGTTCCTGTCATGTCTGATGTGCGTGACAAAGTCAAACAGACCAGTACCAGTGTGGGAAGTTAGGCCACTCTAGTGAGCAGAGTAACGAGAAGATGGACTAGTACATACATTACTCAGCATCTCAGGTCTTTAGGGGAAAAAAAAGACTGGGGAGAATGGAGATGGGTGAACTGAAGGAAGCAAGCACATCATGGGCTTCATTGGCCCACTGTTGAGATGTCCTGACTAAAAAGAGTCAGAGGATGGAACACCGGTGGAGTCAGAGGGGAACACCACCACCTCCACTAGCTCTAGCTAAATCCCAAATACCCCTGGAGATGAAAAACCTTGGTTCCTGCTTTCACCCATTTTTTCGTGTATCATTTTTTTCCACCAACTTATTTCTTGCTCCGTTTACTAAGGCTGCCCCTTGCGCAACAGTGCTGTGAGCCTGAGACCAAAGAACTAAAAAGATGCAGGTGCAACTTTGCTAGGTCGTGAAATGTATCAAGTGCTGGGCCTGTGTTTCTCCAGCAGCAAGGCTGCAAATACAAATCAGTACCAAAGCCAGAAGATGCATTTTCTCTATGCTGTTCTCTCTCTCCCTTTGTGTGTATGTGTCTGTTCTGTTTGAAAGGACACAAGATCAGACTTTAAAATTAACTGTAGCTCCAGCCCTTCTCTACTAGTTTTCATCATTCCCCCAAAAAGGACAAGTTATCGCCCTCTTTAATGCCATCTAAAAGACTCTTCAAAATGGGGATGGACAGAATCCTTAAAAAAAATTCAGCCAAAGAGAATAAGGGATATTGTTTAAACAAAAGACACAATATATTACATACATTTCAAACGCTTTAACTGTTCTGATTTTTTCTGTATCTTTCATAAAAGGATTTTCAATGGCATGTTTGGCCTGGTACTAGGCATGCTGGAGTCTCTGTATTTGAAACACTGATTAGATTAACTGTTCAGTGTTGTATAGTAAGAGAGTTGAGTAAATTCCTTTCATGCTCTGGACCTATTTATTTTATCACAGACTTGACATACCACCATTCTAGCATCTCTTCTCATGCTAGCTACAGAATGGTTCTTCACCTTTGCCTGGAACATGACCCACAAGAGGTTAACGGAGCCTAAGCCAAACTTCCCAGCACACAGTATCCTACGCGGCCTGTATTAGTATTACACATATTGGGGCAGGCTCAGCGCTGCCTGGGGGATGGCTACTGTAGTTTATTGCTGAGAACATACCTGCAGGTTTTGGCTTGCTCTCTTTTCCTGCTACATCTTTGGGTAGCAGATGTGCCTGCGAGTCTAGCTGCTTCCTCTCCTCCGCAGTGACCTGTTCAGGGTCTTGTAGAAAAGTTTCCAGGTGACCTTTCAGGGACTGACCTTCATTCTACAAAGGCAGGAGTACAATAAGGCAATACCAATTCAGCCATCACCACTCTGAAATAGGATTCAGGTGAGCAGGGCCACAGAGGGCTTTAAACCAGAACTCTATGTACATGGCCTAAAATATTTAGGCCAGGTCTACACTAGGAAGCAATATCAAACTAAGGTACGCAATAGTTGATGTACTTTCATCTGAGTTATAGCAGCCTCTCCAGTGCAGGGGGGGTCAATAGGAGAAACTCTCCTGTCAACGCCCTTTACTCTTATCGCTTGGGTGAGGTAGCAGGATTGAGGGGAGCATGTTTAATGGTTAATTTAGCAGGTTTTTACTAGAGACACAAAGTCGACCCCCTGGAGATCAATCCCTGCAGCACCTAATCTCCTGGTGAGCATAGACAAAGCGTGAGCCTTCCTTCCATTGACCTCTGCAGTCAACCTTGCTCCTTATCTGAGATTTCATGGAGTCAGCTTTCCCATCTCTTCCGGAGGGTAAACAACTCCTCCACTCCACCACTTAGTAAAGTAATCTAAATGCTGTTCAACTGTTTGCAGAATTCCATTCCCCCTCCCCATCCCTTTGTTTGCTAAAGTAATCTGCAGAGGAAGAAGCTGTGATTACATCTAGTGAGTCTCAACTAGATTTCATCTGGCTGCAGCTACCCTGAACCCTTTAATACAGCAGCACTCAGCTGCCAACAGCTAGTCACAACATCTTGCTGAGAGGATCAGGAGCAGGAAAGAGGAGCATTCTATTACAATCCCACATTCATGAATAAGCCAAAAAGCAAATTGCTGCTTCAGATTGTCACTGCAGTGATTGTGGCATGTGAAGGAGATAAACCTGATGTGCATTGAGAGCCTATTAATTAGTTCTATTAAAAGGCAAGACCTGGGGCTAGGAGACGCATAGGCCAGCTCAGGCAAGAAGGGGAAAGCCCTACATAAAAGTCAGACAGTAAGGCAGCATCAGCCAACTCCAGTTGCTTGGAATTCTAGTTAGTTCTGCATAAAACTCACCTTTTCGGATTCACCTCTCAAACGTGACATGAAGGACGAAGGAGGCAAGAGCACTGGCTTTGGACTTGTTTGAGCAGGATGGCACGTGACAGGCATCCAAGATGATACACCAGGCAGAGGGGTAGGCACAGGAAGGGGGCTTAAGGTGTAACTAGTGCTATCCAGCTGGGACAGCTGATTACACCTGCTTTGCTCTGTTTGATTTGAGGTGAGTAGAGCCTCAGCCTGGGCCCTATGTTTGCTCATGGATGTTTGCAGCAAAGGCACCTCCAGTCCCTCCAGTCTAGAAGGAAAGAGAAAGGTTTGTAACTTTCAGACAGCCCATAGTCACCTTTTAGTCAATCCAGAACAGACAGAAGGGCAACACAACAATTTTGACCATTCACACTAGTGGAGGTTATTCTACTGCAAAGATTCAGGCCCATAAGCCACCTGAAAAATACTGTTCATGTGGCTTAGCAACCTTGCTATCAATCTGACACAATCATCAGAAGCTATGAAGATTCTGCTAGGAAAAACATCAGTGCTAAGGGGTAATGGCAACCTGGTTAGGACCCTATATTAACTTCTTTATCAGGCAACAAACCTGGAACAACAAACACAATCATCAAAGATCAAAAAAGCATCCAACAGAGATGGTGTCTGGTATCTCCCATCCTGGAGAACTTCAACCTGAAGCTCTCCGCATTTTTTTTAAACAAAAAAGCATCCTGGGAGTGTATTTCTACCTCATTTTGGTCCCAACTGTGGGACCTGATCCAGGTTTAATCACCACGGAGAATGGCTCAAGAGCAAGCTGTACTACTTGCTATGAAAAGTGGAGTTCCAAGAGTGCTTGGAGAAGAGCCTACTAAATACTTTGAACAAAGCTTTCCTGCTTTCAACAAAGCTTTTGCTTCTCCAGCATGTGCAGCTTCAACCCATTCATTTCCGAGAGAAGTGACAGCATGTCTGCTGGCTCCTGGAACATCCTTAGCACCGTAAATCACCCTCAGAAGAGTGATTGCAAAAATGAATTCCTTGCTCTGCCCCTGTGGAAAGTAGGGGTCAGTTCTGGTGTGTTTCTTAACTAACAAACACTTCTTATTCCTCTTAGCTCCACAGAGCAAATTCAGTCCAGGCAAGGGGAGAAGGATTCTATTCTAGCTCAGACATCATTAACAACATTGTGGATGACGTTCTAATGGCAAGGCTAAAATTAAATTCCCAGGGCAAGTGAGGGCAGAGTTTTAGGAACCATGGCCCAGAAAATACCCAGTGTGACACTCAACTTCCAGGTTAAGGTGCAGAGTTGGGCAGTTAGTAAAAAAAATCACTTTTTGCTTGTAAACTGAACCCATAAATTCTAGAAATAAATGAGACTCTACACGCAACTCCAAAGCCTTTAAACTAGTAGAATTTGCACCTCTTTTGCTGGTTTTTAGATGAATTGCCTAAATTCAAACTTTCCCTCAAATGTATGTACTGGTGAAAATAAGCTCTTAACTCATAGTAGGGTAACTCTTCTGACTGCACCATTACTCTTTTCCATTTGATAAGAGATTTGAAGCTTTTCATGTCACTGTGCTGCCCATCATGTTGCACAGAAGAGACATCTATATAAAGCAAGACTGCAGCACAACGCAATACATCTCAGTTCACATTGACATGATACATTCAGTTGTGCTCCTGCCACACTAACAGGGTCATACTTGAGTGTTCTTACCCACTGAATGGTATTCCCAACAAGCCCTCTCTCTCCAGAGACTGCAATAGGAAGTCAGGTCTACGCGGCTGTAATCTTCCCTGACGGATGGTGTTTCTGAGAAAACAAGGGCAATTTGCTAAGATCACATCCTTGACTGAAGCAGCTTTCCAAAATCTCTCCTCCCCCACCATGCTCCTGTCCCTGCAAAATACATTTGCATAATAAAATCACCAGCAATGCTGGGGTGAGGTTTATAGGAAATAAGCTTTCAGAAAGCACACAGTTCCCTTTTCCCATGAAGTAGGGGAGAAGACGGACTGATTTCAGCACAGCTTAGTGAGAAGCTCACTGTGGACAGAGGAGTTCTGTGGTGATAG